CCCCCAAATGACAAGGATGTTTACGGACTATACAAGTTATATGTGCTTCAATTTATGAAATTCCGTTTGGCCGTAGTGGGTCAAAATTTAACACAAAAAGTGACGTAACTTGCCTAAATGCCATTAGGGCGCACCCAAAAACTGTCACCCCCACCCCTCGCACACCTTACATACCAATATCTGTTTCTAAGTTCTGTAATGTCACCATGACCAGCAGTATTGACTAGAACAGCTTGCACAATTAAAGCGTGACAAAATCTATTGCCGCTGGAACCTTTTGTTCAATCCACAGCAAGCTTTGTTACTCGTTCAATATTCTTTGCACATCTAAATGATCTATAATCAAGTCATTATTGTCATTGTCACTAAACGAGTTCATTTATCGCTAATTTCTTCGCTAGAGAAATATTTTAGATGTTTTCTGTTTAAATTGTTGGAAATGGACCTTGATCCCCGGGAGACACCTGGCATGGATCGTGCAAGCTGTCGTGGCAGACTCACCGTTGGAGCGGAATCCTCGGAGATTAAGCGCACCCCCTCACGCTCAAAGAAAGCGCACGGCAAGGAAAGACAGAATCGACTCAAATTCTTCTAGCGCCCACAACAACGTGTGTCTCACGTTCGGAAAAAAGCTTTCCAGGCCCAAATAGGAATGGCAGGCCACCTGCATACTCACCATGTGTTAAAGGCCTTGGTCACCTTCGCATGCGAAGGACGAACAATAAATGTTACAATTGTAAAATGTTGTCTTGGTTTAAGGATGGATTTATGTGCTGAATCATTGAAAGTGAATATGTACAATGTACTGAAAAAAAAACATTTCCATTTATTTGGATCAATAAAGAATCTTATCTTATCTTGATAAGTAAAGCTCTAGACTTCTTAAGGAAATTAACTGCAACATATCTAAAACAGCGGATTTTTTTTTTTTTAACAAACTGATTTTAAAGTATACACGTCTGTTATTGATACCGATATGTTTCCTTTAGACAAACATACACGTCTGTTATTGATACCGATATGTTTCCTTTAGACAAACATATTTAAACACAAAAAAAAAGACGTTCAATTTTACGAAGTGACGTAAACATTAGAAAAGCTAGTAGAAAAAAAAAAAAGCGATAAATTATCCTAAGTGCACGCATAGATATAATAAGAGATCATAAACTGGGTCGAAACATATGAGTAAAAAAGCGTAAAGCGCCCGTGAAGTACAGCCACGTTAAAAGTCAGTGGTGACATCTCTGGGGGGTAAACATTGTTTATCGCCGTTGTTTGTGATCGGGAACGAGTAACCATGCATAAGGAAACACTGTAGTGAAAACACGTTCTCCCTGTCACCTTCCGCAGGAGGCCATTCAATGGTCAGAGGGTACCACTGGTGAGCTACTGATCATGAAGTAGGGGGCCACTGGTGAGCTACTGATCATGAAGTGGGGGCCACTGGTGAGCTACTGATCATGAAGTGGGGGCCACTGGTGAGCTACTGATCATGAAGTGGGGGCCACTGGTGAGCTACTAATCATGAAGTGGGGGGTCACTGGTGAGCTACTGATCATGAAGTGGGGCCACTGGTGAGCTACTGATCATGAAGTAGGGGGCCACTTGTGAGCTACTAATCATGAAGTGGGGGGTCACTGGTGAGCTACTGATCATGAAGTGGGGCCACTGGTGAGCTACTGATCATGAAGTGGGGGCCACTGGTGAGCTACTGATCATGAAGTGGGGGCCACTGGTGAGCTACTGATCATGAAGTGGGGGCCACTGGTGAGCTACTGATCATGAAGTGGGGGCCACTGGTGAGCTACTGATCATGAAGTGGGGGCCACTGGTGAGCTACTGATCATGAACCATTGGTGAGCTACTGATCATGAAGTAGGGGGTCCCTGGTGAGTAACTGATCAAGAAGTAGGGGGTCACTGGTGAGCTTCTGATCATGAAGATAGGGGTCACTGGCGAGCTACTGATCAAGAAGTGGATCAAAATTGAGATGCACGATAGATCAGGACATTTTTTTGTATCGTCATCGGGATGGATAAGTGTAAAAAGTTTCAGCTCAATTGGACATCAGAAAGCTGGTCAAAATTATGATGCAACATTAATATTTGACCCGCAGGGTCACTAAAGGGAAAGAAAAAACAAAGGTTTACCTCAAAAGAATCATTTTTGATGTGAACTGGCAATATTATTTTCCCCTCACTTTTCATTACAATAAATATTGTGATCAAACAGTGAATAAAGAAAATAAAATGACTTACCGGTATTTATTTCTATTTATAAATTCTACTAGGGTACAGATATTTTTCTGTCTTTTTTAAAGGGCAAAAATTCACCCCATTTTTCCTTTGATTGAAAAATCTCAAAAAACCTTTTTTAATCAACTTATTCTAAAAAAACTTAATTTATTCAACTGTACCAACAAAGTGCAGGTACTCACATCATCACGAACCTTTGTGTAAGTTTTTAGATCAGTTCAGATGTTGAAATTTATTCATAAAGGCAAAATATAAGCAAATCACCCCTTTCACAGTATACAAAAATCAAGTTTAACAAATTTTTTAAAAGATTGCTTTAAATTTAAATGCTTATTAACAGGGTAAAGTTGAATATAGACATTTTTTATCTAAAACTTCTTTTCAAAATTTAAATTGACGAACCCTATTTTGTTTTAATTCAACGTCTGTCTTAACATTCTTTTTTTAAAATATTTAATATATGGGAAATTTAGCTTTGCCAAAGCTTTCCCAGTGCGCAATGATGTTTAGCGGATAATTACTGCTTATCAACTTATCTGCCAAGGCAGTGGTTCTCAGCCTTTCTAAAGCCGTGACCCCTTTATACAGTTCCTCATGTTGAGATGACCCCTAACCATAGAATTATTTTCATTGCTACTTCATAACTGTAATTTTGCTTCTGTATTTTCATTGTTACAAATCGAACATAATTAAAGCATAGTGATTCATCACAAAAAACAATAGGTCATTATATGTTGTGAAATATTTATTTCTAATAACAAATAAATAAAATTTTGTCTTGAAGCATAGTGTAGCATGGGTAACAGTCTTAATATAATATTATAATAACAGTAAACTACTTTTCTACACTCTGCGACAGTATGGGAAAAAGCCAACGTCAGTCCGAAGGTTGAGATTGTTTCTTTCTTACCAGATCAGACATGCTTGGGACAGTCTTTGCAAGACCAAAACGAAAATTATCTTTAACAATTATACTTCTGTATTATACTTGATTACCAACGAGCTGGAAAACCCTGTTTCACAAAGATATGTTGTTGGAATGGACGAAATATGGCGCAACACAGACTCAGACAGAACAGGATATGACTGCAAACACTTAATCCAGAATTTTGTAACTGGAATTGTAGAGAAATCAGTTCTCGCTGCATCACTGTTTATAAGTTCAATGAACTCCCTATGTGTTGACTCAGGAACATCTTCAACTTTGACTTTGAATGAACTTCTCAGTCTGGCAAGTGCAAATGGGGTGTCAGGTAGATTTGGAAAGTACGATGAAATTTCGTCTGCAAGTATGGGCAAGTGTTCCTTCACAGAATTTATCATCGTATTCCTTTTATCTGGTTCAATGTCATGTTCCTCAAAGAAACCAGATAAAATAGGCAACATATAAATTTTATTTTCATCCAATTTTTTTTGTCAAAGCTGAAATAAAAATTTAAATGATCTCATATTTTCAGACAAATTGAGGCATGTTGCATTTGGTCCTTGCAGTGATACATTTAACTCATTCAAGGTGGCAACAATGTCAACCAAGTAAGCTATTTTCTGCAGTTCACTTTTATCCCTAAAAAGAACTTGGAACTGCGGTCTTGCTTTCTGATTAAAAAATGTTTTGAGTTCATCACGAAGCTCAAAAACATGTTTCAAAACTTTTCCTTTCAACAACCATCTCACTTCAGTATGAAATAGCAGAGCATTGCTCAGCGCATCCAACTCATTGCACAGTTGCGAAAACAGTTGACTGTTTAAAGTGCTCGCCTTTACAAAATTGACAGAACTTATGACGCTTTTCGTTTCCTCTTGTAACTCATGTGGCAGCGTCTTCGTTGCTAATATTTGCAGATGAATCAATCAAGGAGTTCCGATGACTTT